GATGTTCAGTCAAGCACAGAAGAGGACAGTGGATTGCTACTGAGGAGCTAAAGATAGCCCAAGCAAGTCTGGCTGTAGACCACAACATCCCACCTCTCCAGGTCCTGTCCTGGAAGTTCTTATCAGTCAGCCTTGTGGAACTTTGAATTCATGTGTTGGTGTTCCTGTGAGGTTGCATGCACTGTCTGTCGTTATTATTTTGTTAGCTTTAAAGAAAAAGAAAATTTCCAATTTGATAGTTTGGACCTGGGTGTGATGGCACATGCTAGTGATCTCACCTCCTGAGAGGTGGATGTAGGCGGGAGGATGAAAGGAAGTCGAGAGGGGGGTACAGCCAAATTGACTACACAAAGATCACACAAAGGACAAGAACTGTGTCCTTGTTCACCAGATTCTAGACTGATTTAACTGTGTTTTCTGACAGCCTGTGGGGGCAATATCTACATCCATGATGCTGGATCTGCTGGATATGTGACCTCCCCCAACTACCCTGCCAATTACCCCCAGCATGCAGAATGCATTTGGATCCTGGCAGCTCCTCCAGGAACAAGCATACAGTTGCAGTTTGAAGATCAATTCAATATTGGAGAAACACCTAAGTAGGTCACCTCCATTTTGATGTTCCTGCTACCCAAAGTTAATATCTTTTAGCTGTCAGGTCTCATAACAACTTATTTCCTCTTTACACTACTGCCCAGGAAATCCAGGGACAAAGGGACAAGCTAATGCCTGAAGTCTCAAAACCTTGGCTGGCAGCTACTCCTGCCTGCTGAGCAGATTGTGTGCCTTGATACCGTCCCTTGTGACCCTTGACACATCCCTCTAAGAGACACTGAGAACGACTGAGATTTATGTTATTCATTCTTCCTCCCACAGGAAAAATACAGTGTCTCTGGTAGACAAGTATTTATTTCCCCAGCCTCAGGTTCAATGTCATAGATGATAAATATCTGCTTAACAAATAGAATTTGTGCGGCATGACGTTAGAGGCTACCAGTTTCACAAGCAGCACTTAAGCAAGCGTAGTACAGTTTCTCAGTCTTCCTTCATAACCCAGAGAACATGTATTACCATACTGAAGACAAACGAAAACTACATAGTCTGTGAAAACAAAACAAAACAAAACAAAAAACAAAGTGTGAACAGAAATCTACGGTTTCTTTTGCGTCTATTCAAAGTGTACCGTAATCACGTGAATGGCTGTGTGCACAACAGAGCTTTAGCTTATCAGTTTTGGATGCTGGATACTGTTCTTCCAGTCACTAAGCATGAACTGTCTGGTTTGACTTTCTCAGGAAACAGTAGGCAAAGACTGTCTTCTCTTATGGACATAGAGCTTCCAGCTGAGCCCCTTCATTAGCTGTAGTCACAGAGCTTGTAAGAGAATGCTGATCTTGCTCATGTGAAGTATTTCAAGTTATCATGTTGGATACAGAGGACTCAATCTGAACATGACTTTTATATTTTTAAAATCAACTCAGAATATGGAAGAAACTATTCTCTAGTATAAACCTGCATCTTCAGTCACTAATGAAAGGCTTTATTATGATTGGAAAAACATACAGTACTTTAAAATGCCATGAAGTTTAAACAGACTCAGTTATAGTATCTTATATGAAGGCACGATGATTTAATAATCTTCTTGAAGAAAGCTAGAAGTATTTATTAACAAAATAAGTCAAAGTAATTAGCTTTGTACATTCCACAATCTCTCCCCACTTTAGCTGTGCTTCGAGTTACCTTCAATTGCGGGATGGAGCAGATTCAAATGCACCAGTTCTTTCCACATTTTGTGGGCCGTCTTTGCCCCGTAGCCAGATGTCCTCAAGAGAAGTTATGTACTTGAGATTCCAGTCTGGCAATGGTTCCAGCCACGTGGGATTCAAGGCCAAATATTCTATAGGTAACATTTTATTTTCAAATGAAACCAAGTGGCACAATGACTGTGTTAAAATCACATCTCACCTTTCTCTTTGCCTAATTTAAATAAGAGAAGTAAGCAACGTTATGCTTAAACGCATAAAGTCATTACCAGTTTTAATTTCTCTCATTTTTGTGTTAAAGTGCTAATTTTTAAATTGAATTTGAAATTTGGTAATGAAAAATCCAGTTAAATCAAATTTTTGTTTCTTCTTCTTACCATGAAATAAGTAAAATAAAATGTCAAATTACAAAACTACTTAATGGTGATCAAAAACTTAATTTAGAAGAGTGACTTAGAGCCATCCTGTAGCACCAATAGACTAATTGGGCTTCTTTTACTTTCTAAGTCTCCAAATCAGTCATTGAATGAAAATAAATATATTCCCCTGGATCTTTGATTGCTTTATTTAAAAAACGGCCAATAAATGCACATATTAAAACTAATTCCAAGTATGATCACAATAGCATATAGTTGACTATCTGATGGGTCTGAATAGTCTCAAAACAAATAGGTAAATCAGCAAAAACTCAAAAAGACTAGTTGTAACAATATTTAACCTATACCAGTCACCTTATACCCTAACTTAAATTATATGCAGTTTAATCTAGCAGTCACATCAAATTGATAAGAGATTAACAGAATAGTGACTTTTAAGGCTCTACGGAACCAGTTACTGAGGTGAGCATGTATTTGATAGTTGACACAGAGGCCCAGTACCCAGTCCAGCTGCTGTGGACAGTCTTTAAAATCAGCAGAGGTGTGCTGGTTAGTTTATATCAACTTGACACAAATTCGAGACACCTGAGAAGAGGAAGCCTCAGTTGAGAAATTTCCTCCATCTGATTGGCCTGCGTCCATGTCTGTGAAGCATTTTCTAATTGGAGGGCCCAGCCCATTGTGAGTGGTCTGCCCGTGGGCAGGTGGGCTTGAGCTATGTAAAGAGGGCACTTATAAAACCAATGAGCAGCATTCCTCCATGGTCTCTGCTCAGTTCCTGCCTCCAGGTTCCTGCCTTGAGCTCCTGCCCTGGCTTCTCGTGATGATGGACTGTAACTCGTAAGCTGGAAAAAAAAACTCTTTTCTCCCTTAGTTGCTTTTGATCAATATTTTATCACAGCAACAGAGAAGCAAATTGGAACAAGATGGTCCTAGGCAGACCCTAGCAATTATTTGGTCCCTGAAATCACATGTACATGCAAGTAATGGCTACTCATAATGTCTCAAGACAATTAACAGGACATTAGACTACTCAGTAGTCATCTTCCATTTCCCATTATTGATAAGGTTTATGGTATTTCTCTTTCCATAGGCAGTTGAGTTAAAATAACTAAGAAAGCTTTAAGCAAACATTTTCAGAATTTTAAAAACTTTTGGTTATGGTCACTTTGCTCCTAAAAGTTTTCAAATTTACTGATTTGATCAGAAAAACACCTGTAATATAATGTTGCTCTTTTGTGTTTCGCAGCCACATGTGGAGGAACGGTCACAGGGGAAAGTGGAGTCATTGAGAGTGCTGGGTACCCCACCCTTCCATATACGAACAACGTTCTCTGTCAGTGGCATCTCCAGGGCCTCCCAGGACACTATCTCACCATTCGTTTTGAAGATTTTAACCTTCAGAGTTCCCCTGCCTGTGACAAAGACTTTGTGGAGATCTGGGAAAACCATACCTCCGGTTAGTGAAACATGCCAGCTCTCTTTTGAGGTGTTTCGTTTTCCATCAACTTATTCAACTTCTGAAGTTTCTCTACTTCTGAGAAAGCCAAATCACGTCTGCTATCTTTAGAGATGTGCAGATTCAGTAGCTCTGGGCAGCACCAGCCATTGTTGCCCTTGATTCTAATTAGTAGCAATGGATGCTCCGCATCCCAAGTACCATTCTATAGCTCATTCTGGAGGACACTCTAAAAGAGCCTTGCACTGGGAAGGCACCCTCCTCCTGCAGAGACCCAGCAGTGCAACCACAGTGTGGTTATTGGAGGAGTCTCCTGCACTGTAAGGAGTAGGAAGGACAGTGTGTCCTCATAATAACACGAGATGTGCACTTCTAACTCCTTTGAATCGGATCATTTCTTTAAGCATGCTACAAGCCTTCCTTGCAAGGCTAAGCTGCACTTTGCCTGATTGGGTCCCCTCTTCTTCGCATTCATCTCCTAACTGAATATGTGGACATTTCACAATGTTCTTGACATGGTTGCCATTTTTTTATGGGTAAAGGATTGTCTCTTACGATTTTTCTTTGTACCTGGAAAGCAACTCAAGTACAGCTTAAAAGAAATAAGTCACCCGAGCCTACACATCATGAGTCCTTGAACCCTTACAGGAAGTGTTTTGGGCAGATACTGTGGAAACAGCCTTCCAGGCAGCATAGATACTTCCAGCAATGTCGCTTCCGTCAGGTTTGTCACGGATGGCTCCGTAACGGCCTCAGGATTTAGACTGCAGTTCAAATCCAGCAGAGAAGGTGAGTTCATTGATTCCGTTTGAAAGATGTTGATCTCTTATGGAAGACAGACACTCTGCTAGACACTGCTGTCACAATAGTTAGGAAAATAAGATGAGTAGAAAGGCAAATGCTAACGAACAGTCACTCATGAAAAGTTACCAATGGAACATGTGCTACGGAGGAAAATAACTCAGTCACAAGAGATGCTGCTGCCAGTGGACTGCTATCTGAGAAAGCAAAGGTTAAATATTTATATAGATAAGAAGAGAGTGCAGATGTCAGTACAAGTGAAGAAGTGAGTGTGGGTGAGCATTTAGAATTCACATTCCTATATGTCCTGACAAACGGGTAAAACAAAGATCCTGTCTAAAAAACCGCAACACTTCCTTTAGCCTTCCTTGGCCTGCCTGGGTTTGCTCAGAGGTCTTTCATACGTCTTGAACTCTGGCGATAATTTAAATGCTGCCAGTGGACTGCTATCTGAGAAAGCAAAGGTTAAATATTTATATAGACAAGAAGAGAGTGCGGATGTCGGTACAAGTGAAGAAGTGAGTGTGGGTGAGCATTGCACACGTATGGACGTAAATAAGGCCAACAGTTCTGCCTAGAGCAGTCATTAAAACACGTTCTAAGAGCATTCCTTCACAAGAAGCCGTTACTGGAAGTTTGTTGCTCTTTCTTCTGTCTTTCAGTGTGTGGTGCAGAGCTACAGGGCCCTACTGGAACATTCACTTCTCCCAACTACCCAAACCCAAATCCTCATGCCAGGTTCTGTGAATGGATGATCACTGTGCCGGAAGGAAGGCGGGTCATCCTGACTTTTACCAATCTGAGGCTGGACATAAACCCATCCTGTGACAATGAGTACCTGACTGTAAGTGCTCCCTTCAGGCCTTGGTACTGTGCTCCAGTGTGGATGGTAGTTCATTTACCCACATGCCATAGTCTGAACACTGAGTCAGAATATTACCACCTATGCAAGTGTATTCCACATTTTTGTTAACCACTTGTCGGCTGAGGGACACTTGGGTTGCTTCCATCGCTTAGCTATTGTGAAAAGAGCAGCAACAAACATGGTTGTACAAGTGTCTCTACAATAGGATGAGTCCTTTGGATATATGCCAAGAAGTGGTATAAGTGGGTCACATGGTAGGTTCATTTTCAGTTTTTTGAGTTCTCCACACTGTTTTCCATAGAGGCTGTATGAGTTTGCAATCCCACCAGCAGTGAATGAGCGTTCCCCTCTCTCCACATTCTCGCCAGCATTTGGTATCATTTGTTCTCTTGCTTCTAGACAGTCTGATTGGGGTAAGGTGATACCTTAAGGTGGTTTTAATTTGCATTTCCCTAATTACTAATGATGTTGAACACTTTTTAAGCTGTTTCATAGCCATCTTTACTTCTTCCTTTGAGAACTCTCTGTTTAGATCTTTGGCCCATCTTTTAACTGGGTCATTTGTCTTCTTGGTTCTTTGTTTTTTGTTTTTCGGGTTTTGTTCTGAGTTCTTTACATATTATGGATGAGACAAATATTTTAGGTAGAACAACTCACCATAAACTTCCAAAATAATTGTAGAAGCTACTTCAGAGACCATCATCAATCACTGCATGCACCAAGTTTACATAATAGATAAATTTTTAGAGCAAAGCATCATTGCATATGACAAAAGAGAATAAGCAGCTGAAAGCTAAACCCTAAGGACAGCATAACAGGAAAAATAGACCAGGCAGGGCACAAGGCAGCAGCAAAAGTCTTGAGCAGATGGTCCTGCATAGCCATGTTCTCTGGCAGAGATACGAAGAAGCCCTGAGTGGGAAGCCAGGGCTGTAGGCCCTGCATGTTGCCAGCTTCAAAGATCAGGGATTCGCCCTTAGCACCTTAACATCCTCAGCTGAAGACAGCACATGAGATCCGTTGAGTCTCAATACCAAATACACTGTTGACTGGGAAGTGATATGCGTGTGTGTGTGTGTGTGTGTGTGTGTACATTGTATTACAAATGTATTATTAATATGTATGCATGGATCGATAGATTGGATCTATGTCAGGTTATTTCTCCAACCAATTTCTCCCCTTCTTCAGTCTTTCTTATCTGAGTAAATAACAATTGTGCTTGCCCAAGGGAAAAATCCTGGTGTCTATTTTGGCATCCCAGCTCCTACCACTTACTACCGCATGCATACACAGGACCCCCCCCTTAGAAAATCTCAGCCTCTGACACCTTATCTATCCACTACTTCCAATGTCATCGTCTGCTTGGATCGCTCTATAATTTCCAGCTGCTCTCTTGTCTCCCTACATTCTCAGTACAGCAACCAGTATTGTGGTTTCAGATCTACATGTGGGGGCTAGGGGTAGACCTCAGTCCTAGAGACCTTGCCTAACACATGCAAGGCCCTCCAGTCCAAAAATTGTTTAAGTCATACCATGTTCCTATTGAAATATCTCTAATGACTTGTCTTCTCACTCAGATGGAAATCCCAAATCCTTGCCAAGTCCCCCAGCCCGGTAGTACCTGCCGTTCCTTCTTTACCACCTACCTCACCGCAACACTCCCACCTACTGCTTACTAGGATCCAGCCATCCTGGCCTCCCTTCTCTTACTGGAATACACTAAGATGTTCTCACACCAGTTGACTGTTGCTTCTATCTAGAATGTTCCTCCTTGATGTCTGCCTCGTTCTCGTCTTCACCTCACTAAGGTCTCTGCTCCAATGATTGATCCACAAGGCCCTCCCAAAACACCCGTATAAAGCAGACCCACCCTGACCTATCCCCCTCCCCTGTGTTATTTCCCAGCACTCAATGACAGCTGATTTGCCTTGTATTTATTGGTCCATCTCCATATTGCCTGTTCCTACCACTGGAATGCAAGCTCCTTGAGGGCAGGCACTTGGTTTCATTCACTCATGACCCAGTGATCTGTACATCACAGAGCTGATTGCTTGATGAATTAATAGAACTAACATTGTTAGCTTAAAACAAATAAATGACTTGTTTTCAGTTGGTTGTCTTCTGCTGGAGAGTAAATGTCACCTGAAGCACCCTGTGCCGTCCCTTTATCAGTTTTTATTACCCCCAAATGACCTTATTTAACCTTCAGATCATATCCCCAAGTTCTAATATCTCAAGAGCTGAAGTGTCCTTTCTCAGAAAGCAAATATGGAATCAGTGTGGTTTACTTTTATTTGAGAACAAGGAAATGTTAAACCAAAGTTGTTTGGTGTGTCCTTTATTTCTTCTTCTTTTCTGTTAGTTTTCTGTACTGTTTTGTTAATTTGCTTGTTTTTGCGACAATCTCATGCACCTAAGCTGGCCTAGAACTCATTATGTAGCAGAGGATGACCATGAGCTAGGATTACAGGTTTGTAGTATCATGCCTGGCCTAGATGTGCTGGGGATTCAACCCAGGACTGGTGCATGCTAAGGAAGCTCTACCAATGAGCTACATCCCCACCACAAGCTGTGAAAATGTAAAATGTTAAATTATTTTAATTAATTAATTAATTATTGTCTGTGTATGTGTGTGGGCATGTGCATGCCATGCTGTGTCAGAGAATAATTTTTTTTTTTTCGTCTTTTTGAGACAGGGTCTCCCTGTAGCCTCAGCTGTCCTGGAACTCACTATGTAGACCAGGCTGGCCTCGAACTCACAGAGATCTGCCTGCCTCTGCCTCCGGAGGGCTGGGATTAAAGGTGTGCACCACCATGCCTGGCTGTCAGAGAATAATTTAATGGAGTCAGTTCTCTCTGTCTACCATATGTAGCCCCAGGATTGAACTCTGGAGATTAAGCTTGGTAGCAAGCACCTTTTACTGGTTGTACCATCTCTCAGACCAAAGTTGTCAATTTTTAAGAAACATTTGTCATATTATTTGTTGCATAGATGTGTAGACAAAGATGAAGTAGAAAAAAGATTAAATGGCCCTACTATACCACATTTTTATGCACTGTCTGTGGCCTCACATAATTTTATGTAGCTTTAATTATGCAATATAAATTCCTTTGAACACTAATTTAAAATATTTTTCTGATTATATATAATCAATACACAGTGAACACTATTTTGAAAATTCAAAAAAATTTAAAAATCTACATTTGGACATTTTACACCCTGGTCACTCACATTTTCATGTGTCTATGCTGTTTCTTTCCCTTCGAGATTATGTCTCTGCTTAGATCATGGTGAATATAATGATTATTAGGAATTTAGCAGCAGAGTATGTTCATGTCCTCAAGGAAAGATAAAATGAAGTCACGATTTTAGAACTAAAATAAAATTAAAATTTATAGCAACTACCACAGATTCCAAGCCAGGCCTTACCCATCTCCTCCTAATCCCCTTCCCAGAGGCGTCCACGCTCCAGTCCTGTAGCACTTCTCCCAGTACTTATGCCATGGTTTCTAAACAACTTTCCTGTCCACTGCCCTTTAGATGTTTGATCCTCAACATTATTTATTAATATACTTCTAAGGAAGGTGAGGACTTAGCTCCATGCTATCAGAAGTGCACACACCCTCCCAACTTCCTTCCAAAATGCACATGCCACAGCATCCATGTTCTGGTCCTTCAGTGTTTACAGACGATGATAATGGGAACACCATTCACAGCCAAGCCAAGCAGTATACTAGGGCCGCGTTTCCTCCTATTTTTTTTCAAGCAAAAATGACAGTTCTATCTTTTTTGTATTTTCTGGGTGTTCACGCATTAGTCACTAGTTCTTCCACACTTTTCCTACCCCAGGTGCATCTGTCTCCTTTACATAATGTAACAAAGCACATCTATTTTTATCATCAATATCCTTCCTTGAACCTTTGTCCATGTGCGGCAAGCTTGATGCGATCTGCTGTTTTGGGATTTCCCTCTACTGTCAAATCTGTAATGCTGCATTCCTTTCCTGGCCATCTGGCTTCATGATCATGTGCATTTCCTTTGCTTAATTTCCTATTTTTTACACATGCTCTTGTCACTCCTTAGGGAAATCAGTGTGGATGGTAAATTTTTGAGGATTTCTTTTTTACTATCATTATCTGCTTTCATGTATTAAACTACTTTAGAATCATAATTTTGAAATCTCATATTGCTTCTTTGAAGTTTCATATAGTTTCTGTCAAGTTCCTCTTTTTTGAAAAAAAATA